AAATTTATCGCGTACAAATTTTTGCCACGCCCGGTGGGACCATCTCTGCCTTCCATCTCTTCTCCTCGAATATTTAACTACGTATATCACCAATGGCACCAAAGAGCAACAAAATCATGATTGCACATTCCAAGGCTACTGATACTAAGTCTGTTCAGGAAACTGCACATGTTGCCGCCAATACCCGCATTATTGGGCCTGTGACAAGGAGTATGACGAGAGCCTCCACCCAAAGTAGCATGGAACCTCCATCGGCGCCAACTCCCGTCTTCGGTTCAACATCACCAATAAGCTATTCCTCCACGATGGGGATCCAAAACGTTCCTGCCTCAATTGAGAAGGCTCTTGCCATGCTTGAATTTGGATCCGAATCCAAATTTTCTAAGCATGACGATGATTCATCAAGTACTGGATCAGCCTCTTCACATGAAACTCTTCATTCAAGATTTTCTATTGAAGATTCTGCTGCTTCTTCTTCTGCAATGCCTGCCATGATGACAAATACTTTGAGTCTCGAAGAACAAGTTTCGAACATGTCCAAGATGATGGAAATCATGATGAAACACATCAAGGACCAAGATGCTCTCATTGCTCAACTGCTCACCCAGAAAGAACACGCTCCTGAAGGAAGTCATGCAAATCCTAGAGAGCACCAAGAGCGTGAAATTCCTTCATCTAAAAGCAAAGACAAGGTGAAGGAAGTATATGTGACTGCCGATGGAACTATTCCCGTGGAACAACTAAAGGAACTTGTTGAAGGCGTGATCAAAGATAAAAAGGAGGGTGGTTCAAAGTCAAGTTTTACCTACTGCAAGCCTTACACTGCTAGAATTGATAATCTAGCAATGCCTGTTGGATATCAACAGCCTAAATTTCAACAGTTCGATGGGAAAGGTAGTCCAAAGCAATATGTGGCTCATTTTGTCGAAACCTGCAATAACGCTGGAACCTATGGTGACCTGCTAGTCAAACAGTTCGTCCGATCCTTGAAGGGCAACGCATTTGACTGGTATACTGATCTCACTCCGGGGTCCATCAATAGTTGGGGACAGCTGGAACAAGAGTTCTTGAATCGCTTCTATAGCACTAGAAGAACCGTTAGTATGCTGGAGTTGACTAACACTCGTCAATGGAAGGATGAGCCTGTGGTCAACTACATTGATAGGTGGAGAAGTTTGAGTCTCAATTGCAAGGACAGACTGTCTGAACCCTCTGCTATAGAAATGTGTATCAGAGGAATACATTGGAGCTTAAACTACATTCTACAGGGTATACGTCCAAACACATTTGAAGAATTAGCTACTCGTGCTCATGATATCGAGTTAAGCATCACGACCAATGCAACGGATGGGCTTCCTATTCAAGCTCCGCGAGTGCAGCGGCCTCGTCAAAGCAATGAAAGGTAAGAAAATAAAAAATGGGGCAAACCTCCTTCAAGATTCAGTAATAAGGAGTCCGTGGCAATAAACACAGCTCCTATGAAAATCGCTACCAATGTGAGTCAAAAAGTCACCGAAAAAGTAGACTCCCCTCAAAATAGGTCGGTAAGAAGACCTACTCTAAAAGAAATGCAAGAAAAGGAATACCCCTTCCTCGAATCTGATTTACAAGGAATGTTTGATGATCTTTTCAAGGAGAAACGCCTTGAACTTCCCGACATGAAGCGCCCAGAGGAAGCTGGTCAAGTCAATGATCCAAATTATTGCTGTTATCATCGCTTGATTGGCCACCCTCTCACTAAATGCTTTGTCTTTAACGACAAAATTATGGAATTGGCCCGTCAAGGAAAAATCCTTCTCGAGGAAGATAAAATATCAGCAAATCAAACAACAATAATGTTTGGATCTGTGTGTTGTCCGATAGAAGTTTTATCCACAACAAGCAGTGCTTCGTCTAAGGAGTTTGAAAAATCCTCAATTGAAGATGTTATTGAAGATGACAACAAATGATGGACTTTAGTCACTCGAAAGAGGACTTGCAAGCCAAAGATAAAGAAGTACATCTTTTCGAAAAGCATTCGTTTGACAAAGCCTGAAGTGACAATGAAACGATGAAATGCAAAAAGAAACAAAAAGGAGTGGCCACAAAACCAATTCCTTCAGATTTTCAGCTCCTTCAAGAGGCTCGACAGCCCGTGACACTGAGAGAATTTATACCCAAGGGGTATTTAAGTGACGATGCTGATAACTCCACCTCTTGTAATGTCGTCAAAGATGAAAATTCTCAAGTCACACAAATTGGCACGGAATTTGAGAAAAAAACTCAAAATTGATGATAAATCACCAATAGATTGTGCAACGACTATCATTTTTTATGATGACGATTTAACTATTGAGTTCAAAACTCACAATCGACCTTTGTTTGTTAGTGCATATGTCCGAGAACAGAAGATGAATCGGATACTCATTGATGGGGGATCTGCCGTCAATATTATGTCCGTAGGTGCTATGAAAAAACTAGGAATCTCAAGCGATAAACTCTCCCAGAACCGTCTCATGATCCAAGGATTTAACCAAGGGGGGCAAAGAGCAATTGGTCTCATAAGGCTTGAATTGCTCATTGGTGAGTTATCTTCAAGTGTGTTATTTCATATCATTGACGCCAAAACCTCTTATAATATAGTCTTGGGACGACCCTGGATTCACAAGAATGAAATTATACCGTCTACTCTGGATTAATGTTTCAAATATTGTCGAGATGGTATAGTTAAGAAGGTTGTTGTCGATGACAAACCATTCACTGAGGCCGAAGCTCACTTTGCCGATGCCAAATTTTACCTTCAGAAAGAAGCAAAAAGAAAATAATCAATAAAGGAAGAAAGTCAAGATTTCAAAGTACCCATTTTGCGGTATATTTTGAAATCGAAGAGAGAAGAATGTCAATCTTCTTTTGTCAGGAATGACACATTAAATATTCCGCTCAGCAAAATAGAGCCTGTTAAGAGTGAAAAAGTGAGCTTGCAAGGATTTGTTCGTCCCAAAGAAGAACCGGCAGTAGAGCATTACTCACTACCAACTAATCGGACTAAAGAAGGTTTTGATCCAAACGCATATAGACTTCTTGCTAAGGCTGGTTATAACCCAAATGAAAAGCATGCATTGGAAAAACTCCCTCCGAATGTGACTGGCGAGAAAACTCATGGATTAACACCTACGCAGAAAATGTTGAAAGAAAAAGGCTATAATGTTGAAAGTTCATCGATGGGTCTTGGTTATCAACCACCTTCTCCAGTGCGTATAATGATAAAAAAGGCAAGTTGTAACTACGTGAACGAAGAAATGGAGGTTACAAGCCGAAAGAGATCTGTGTTCAATAAGTTGGGAAATAAGTCAAAACGTACTTCTGTGTTTGACAGACTTGGCCCGCAGCCAAAATATTTGAAACCGCCCGTCTATGAAAGATTAAGCAATAAAAAGCAAGAGTACCAAGTTGCCAAGAAAGAATGTCTTACTCTAATAAAGAAGAACGGACCAAGAAAGCGAGTCTCCGATTTCTTCATGCACTATGGAGACTTATTCAATGTAAAAATTGAAACTATTTTTGAAGAACAGGGTCAAGAAAGTACGGCTTCCTGTCATCATATTACGATCAGTGATCCTGAAGAAGAAGAAGATGGTGCAGATGACGCTCCCGCTGAATTTGAACAGGGAGTAAAAAATACAGTCGATGCCCTAAAAGAAATTAATCTTGGCACAAGTAATAACCTTCACCCAATTTATATAAGTTCTTGTATGACTCCTGAAGAAGAGAAAAAGTATGTTGATTTGCTGCTCGAGTTCAAAGATATCTTTGCCTAGAATTACTCAAAAATGTCCGGTTTGGATCCTAGAGTCGCTGTTCATAATTTATCTGTCAAGCGAGGAACAAAACCTGTCAAGCAAATTCAAAGGCGCTTTCGACCTGAAATGATTCCTCTGATAGAAAATGAGATAAATAGACTAATTGAATCGGGGTTCATACGAGAAGTGAAATATCCAACATGGATTTCAAGCATTGTCCCTGTGAGGAAGAAGAATGGACAAATTTGAATTTGTGTTGATTTTCGAGACTTAAATGAGACTTGCCCCAAAGATGATTTTTCGCTCCCCATCACAGAATTGACGGTAGATGCTACGATCAGGCATGAAACATTATCTTTTCTCGACGGATCGTCTGGTTACAATCAAATACGTATGGCGCCTGAGAATGAGGAGCTCACTGCCTTCCGCATCCCCAAGAGAATTTATTGCTATAAAGTGATGCTGTTTGGTTTGAAGAATGCTGGAGCGACATATCAAAGGGCAATGCAAAGAATTTTTGATGATATGCTCCATAGGAATGTGGAGTGCTACGTCGATGACCTTATGGTGAAATCAAAGAAGCGAGAGAATCATATTCAAAACCTTCGAAATGTTTTCCAACGCCTTCGAAGATACCAACTGAAGATGAATCCTTTGAAATACGCATTAGGAGTCACTTCTGGCAAGTTTCTCGGTTTCATCGTTCATCAACGGGAAATAGAGGTTGATCGATCTAAAATCGATGCCATTGTGAACATGCCTGAACCGCGAAATATTCATGAATTAAAGAGCCTTCAAGGGAAGTTGGCATATATTCGGAAATTTATCTCTAATTTGACTGGACGATGCCAACCCTTCAGTCGACTGATGAAGAAAGGGATGCTCTTCGAGTGGGATGAATCGTGTAGGAATACTTTTACAAGCATCAAAACGTATCTCATGAATCCTCCAATGTTGGTTGCACCCATCCCAAAAAAACCATTGATTCTCTATATTTCCGCTCAAGAACGGTCGATTGGGGCCTTACTTGCTCAAGAAAATGGTGAAGGTAAGGAGAATGTGCTGTATTACTTGAGTCGGATGATGACACCTAATGAGTTGAATTACTCACCCATCGAAAATTTGTGTTTGGCACTTATATTTATCATACAGAAGTTGAAACATTATTTTCAAGCACACACTATTCGACTCATATCTAAGTCTAATCCCATTAAATATGTCATGGCAAAACCTGTACTGTCTGATCGACTTGCGAGATGGTACCTCCAATTTCAACAATTCGAAATTATTTATGTACCTGCGAAGGCTGTTAAAGGGCAAATATTGGCAGACTTTCTAGCCGATCATCCCATACCTGCCGAATGGGAGTTGACTGATGAGCTCCTCGATGAAGAAATGTTTATGATCGAATTCCCGTGGTCGATGTATTTCGATGGAGCTACTCACCGTGATGGAGCTGGTGCGGGAGTTGTCTTTTATACTCCCGAAACATATATATTGCCGTACTCTTTCACTTTAACACGCCGGTGCTCAAACAATGTGCCCGAATATCAGACGTTAATTCTTGGTCTTGAAACGGCTGTAGACATGAAGCAGTTGCATGTTAGAGTCTATGGTGATTCAAAATTGATGGTAAATCAACTTCTTGATATTTATGATGTCAAGAAACCTGAATTGATCCCATATTATAAGTATGCAAGACAACTCATGGGATATTTAGATAGTGTCACTATAGAACATACCCCTAGAAATTTCAACCAACAAGCTGACTTTTTGGCAAGGGTGACGACCATGATCACTCTACCTTCTCGTCGAAATCAAATTTCAATATGTCAAAATTGAGTCATACCTCCGATGTTTGATGAAGAAAATGATGGTGAGGGAGAAAATACTTATCATATTTTTGTCCATGAGATCGAAAAGGAGGATTGGCGTCACCTCATCATTGATTACCTTAATCATGGGAAATTACCAGAAGATTCTAAGAAAATGGTTGATATACGTCGTCGAGCGCCACGTTTCATTTACTACAAAGGGACACTTTACCGAAAATTATTCGATGGGGTGTTTCTACGATATTTTGGAGAAGATGAGGCCATGCAAGCAATGGAGGAGGCTCACTCTGAGATATGCGGTGCTCACCAGTCTGGCCTGAAATTACACTTTCGTATTAAAAGAATGGGATATTACTGGCCAACAATGGTAAAGGATTGCATTGACTTTGCTAGAAGATGTCAAGCATGTCAATTCCATGGCAATTTCATCCATCAACCTCCTGAACCATTGCACCCAACTGTGGCTTCTTGGCCGTTCGATGCTTGGGTTTTGGATATAGTTGGACCACTTCCAAAGTTTTCTGGCGGACACATTTTCATTTTGGCGACGACAGATTACTTTTCAAAGTGGGCTGAAGCGATTCCTCTAAGAGAGGTCAAAAAGGAGAATGTAGTAGATTTTATTCGCTTACACATCATTTATCGGTATGGAGTCTCACGTTATATCATCACCGATAATGGTAAACCTTTTTGTAATGTAGCAATGAACAACCTTTGTGAAAAGTTTCATTTCAAACAATACAATTCGTCCATGTATTACGCTGCTGCAAATGGACTCGCTGAAGCATTCAACAAGACCTTATGTAATCTGTTGAAGAAAATCGTGGATAAATCGAGAAGGGATTGGCATCTTCGAATTGGAGAAACACTTTGGGCATACCAAACTACTTTTCGAACTCCCACGCAAGCAACCCCATACGCGCTTGTTTACGGTGTTGAAGCTGTTCTTCCACTTGAGTGTCAAGTACCTTCGCTAAGAATTGCGATTCAATAAAGGCTCAGTGAAGAAGATAATATCCATCTTCGTCTCGAGGAGTTAGAAGCACTCGACGAAAAGAGATTCGAAACTCAACAACGAATTGAGTGCTATCAAGCCCGCCTTTCAAAAGCATTCAATAAGTACGTCCGACCTCGCTCTTTCCAAATTGGAGAGTTAGTGCTCGCTGTTCGGAGACCAATCATTCTCACTCATGGCGGACAAAGAAAGTTTACTCCTAAGTGGGATGGTCCGTATGTCGTTCGAGAAGTATATACAAATGGCTCATACAAGTTCGTTGCTGAATATGGATTAAGGGTTGGCCCCATCAATGGCAAGTACCTAAAAAGGTACTATGCGTAATCGGAACCGCACGATGCTCCTGGTCCGCATGAGCTAAAACTGTGGATGGCAACAACTAATAGTGTAGTATGTGGTTAAACTGCTGAAACACTCCATCAAGTCTAAGGTGGTAAACAAATAAATACTCCTGACCCGCATGAGATTAAAATGTGAACGACGGCAACTACGTGTGACTTGATTCTCTTATTGGAATACGTAGGCAGCTTGGAGGGCAACTTCTAAGTTCAGTTACACCTCCTAAACCAAATCTTCTTTTCTTGCAAAAAAAAAAAGGAAAAAAAAAGAACTTTTCTTTTTTCTTTGAGATAAAATGCTACATTTAAAAGTTCTTTTCTTTTAAAAAAAACAAAAGAAAAGAAATGAAAAGCATTTTATTATTAAAAAAAAACTCATTACATGGAAAAAAAATGATAAAAGAATTCAAGAAAAAGAAGGACATAGTGGAAAGCCTAAATATCAAATTTGTATTCCACTACAGCTATTTTATATAATTCAAGTGCAGACTTCATGTCTTCAACTTCCTTCACAGCGTCATCAGTCAAGATGCTAGTATTTTCAATGGAAGATAGCTCATCATGCGGTTGGGTTATTTCGGTTTGGATCTCTTTGAAAGTCTCATACTTTTGATCGATGGTTGAACTGATTTTCAGGCTTTGTTTCTCCAAATTGATGGGTTCCTGTTGCAGAACCTTCTTCCTATCTTCAATGGACTGCAACTTTTCTTTAACACTTTGCAAATGACAAGTTAGTTCTTCTTCCTTTGCTTTAACTCTCTCGAGTTGGATGGTCACTTTGGAAAGGAGTTCTGCATGTATTTCTTTACTTACCTTTTCCCACAATGAAGATGCCAGAACGTCATACGCCTCCGCCTTGGCAAACAATTCCATCAAGTGATCTTTTAAAGGGAGACCATTGGTGGGATCTGTTCTTATGATTTCTGCAATGATTTCCTCTGCACACTCTTTTAAAGAAAACTCAATTGGAGTGTCAAGAATCTGTCCACGAAAATCCATCCACAAACTCTGCAAGTACTTTCTTCGATGTGTCTGGATCAACTTTTGGCCATGAAATTCTGAAACCAGTACTACCTTAGGTCTTTTTCGGGTTTCGTGTGAACTAGTCAACTCCTTCTTATGTATTGACGAGATATCTCCATTGGGGGCAAATTGTTTTGGGGTACTGATAGCTACTTCGTCACTTTTATTGTTTGAAATTATATCATCAGTTTCGAGTTCGGGTGGTGAGTTGTTACCAACACCTTCTTGACGGAATTCAAGGAACGGGGGCTGAAAAGAAAAAATTTTACAAAAAAAAGAGAAAAAAATTACAAAACAAAAAGGGAGAAAATAGAGAGACGATTACCTTGAGTGGCGACACTCCAACCGACGGTGGTGTAAATGAAATCTCCTCCAAATCAAAAGATGTCCTCTTCTTTGATCGGTTCCAGTGACGGTCTTGACTACTACTACCGCTCGCTAACAAATGAGATCCTCCTTGGGCAGGTCCGATGCTCTGAACTTGAGTCCCTTCCTTTTCTATAGCTTCAATCGAATCACGATCGTCCACCGTTTCAATTTTGACATCTTTTTCAGTGCGAGTCACCGATAAGGATTTTGAAACTTTGGGGGGCGTCTTCTTTGCTGGAATCACTGGTTGCGCCTATTTGATGACCTGTCGAGAGTCTTTCGAAGACTTATTCTTTGTGACAATGTTTTTTGAGGGGCTGCTAGTAATTTTGTTCTTTTGAAATGTGGATGAGGTAAGACCCGTTACAACCTCTATAGCTCCATCATGATGCACGGGCTTGTTGGTGAGGGTAATCTTACCCTTCTTCGATGATTGTTGAGCGATTTTAACGGTGAATTTAAAGGAAGTTGAAGAGACACTATTTAACCAAGTCGACCACCAGATGTCATAATCTTTTGTGATCAAAAGAAGTTTCCTGTGCGTGGGTATAGTCATCCGAGATCGCGTCTGCATGCGAACTGAGGAATCCCATAGTTGAATAGCCTCACCCAAAGTGTAAGTGTGAGTGATTTCTTTCAAGTTGTTGGGAATGTCTTGGCAAAAGCCGAATTGTCTGCTGAACCTGCAAGGATTATATTTTTCAATGATGAAAGTATTGTCCTTACGTAGAGTTAAATGGCAAGAGCGTTGACTAATGAAGTAGCTCGTGAGTCTTGATGATAAGGATCCATCATCGATCAACACACTTTCTTCATTCTCAGTCCAACACAACTTAGGAAGCATAAAAGGATTCACCTCCTTGAAGATTTCCTCAGCTTCTGATCGACCATAAAATATTGTCATTTTCTCACTGCTAAATCTCGTCATGCGCGCATGGTGGCCACTCACTTGATTATTCTCGTGATATACGTCAAAATATTGGTCAATCCAAGCATAGACGTAATGGATTGGAAAAGTTACCTCGCATTCTCCAAGGTTAGGGGCGTGGACGATCTCCCTCAACCCATGATATATGCTCGCAATAACGGGAATTGCAAGGCAAAATCTTTTTCCTGTGACCATTAAGAATGCAACCTTGAAGACATTTGGGCGAATACGATCGATCTTTTTGCTTAGCAAAAGGAACTTGCAAATCCAACACGTTATAAATGCCGCAATATAGGTTTCCTTTCTTAAAGACCCTAGGATACCTAGTGTGTCGAAAGGGACGTTAAATTCCTTCGAATCAGCAAGATCGTGAGGCTCTACGCTTCCAGAAGGGTTGTAAGTCATTTTCGGTTTAGATGCGGTCTTTCTTCTATTCGCTCTGCTCGAAGGGGCCCTATACCTAGCATCTCCTTTGAACCAGAAACGGATCCAGTCTTTCATCCATACACCTTGGTCATTCGTCCAAAGGTGGTAGTAAGCGGAAAAGAGGTGCCGGCAGCTCTCAGGGAGAAGTGGCTTCCTTTCTTTGTCACGAGTAAGAAACTCCTGCGCCGAAGGAACAACTTCATCAAAGAACGAGCCATCGATCGAAAGGCCGCCAAGTCAATAAAGGTCCCAAAATGTGATGGACAACTCCCCGACGGGCGAATGAAGTGTGTTTGTCGAGAGACACCAATATTTGAAGAAGACTCACAAGATATTTTCACAGCGGTCGTAGGAATATCTTGACGCGTAGACAGCTTCAAATATGCCAGCGCGTGTGAGTACCTCTTTATATCTTCTAAAAATGTCCTCGACCCACTCCCAATAATAGGAGGTGAAGCACGCCTCACCAAAGAAGGACGGAGGGATCTTCCATGTAGTTTTGTCAATATTGAATCCCACGAACGGAAGCGTGAATTTGGCTATTTCTGGATCTCCATTGTGAAGTGACGAGTTTAATACGATCACTTCTTCTTCTCTCGACGTAGTGGAGAAAGTCGACGGTGCCACCACTTCCTTGGTCCACTTGCTAGTCCAATCCGTGAGATGAAAGCATCCTTCAAGGGGTATAAAAGACTCAGCAAAGGCACCAATTGCTGGCTTGTTCACATGTAGTGACAAACTTTTTGTTTGAGATCCTCCCCGTTCATCCGTCAATGAAATATGTGGCAATGGCGTGGCGTAATCCTTAATTTGCATGCTTGCTGAAATTTTGCAAAACGTTAGAGGATGAAGGGAAATTCTTACAGTTTTGGTAATTAGAATTACCTTGCCTTTTCTCAAGTCCCTGA